ATGGGGTATTCAGCCCTGGCAATCAAAATAATAAGTCTGGTTAGGCTCAATGGCACATGCCTGTAATCCCAGCAGCTCAGGAGGTTGAGACAGGAGGATCCCAAGTTCAAAGCCAAGCTTCAGCAATATAGTGAGGCTCTAAGCAACTCAGTGAGACCCTATCTCTAGATAAAATATTTTAAAAGAGCTGGGGATATGGCTCAGTGGTTAAGCACCCCTGGGTTCCATCCCTGGTACAAACAAACAAACAAAAGATGATGTCTGGTTAAAATGAGAGAATAAAGCCAGGTATAATGGTACACACCTATAATCCCAGTGACTCAAGAGGGTGAGGCAGAAGGATCAAAAGTTTGAGGCCAGTCTGGGCAACTTAGCAAGACCCTGTCTCAAAAAATTTGTAAAAAGGACTTGGGATGTAACTCAGTGGTAGAGCATGTCTGAGTTCAATCCCAGTACCAGAAAAGAGAGAAAGAGAGATATTGAGATGGATTCTGGCAGTTGGCATAAAAATAATTAGCTCTGAACTGTATTAAACAGTATCCCAAGTTGGTAGGATTTGTAGAAGTGAGAAGACTTCCAAAGAGACCCTCTAGGAACCTCTAAGAAAATAATTTGGCCTATCATCCACGGTGCCCTGACCATGTGGCTGTCACTCACAGGCCTGCTTACTCCCTCCCTGAGGTCCTCAGCCTTGGGGCCCCTCCTTGGAGCTGCTTCCAGTGATGCTGATTGACATTGGCTGTAGCTGCGCTTGTGTTTGAAGTGTGGACTGTGTTGAAATATTCCTGGTCTCCCCCACCTAAGGTTTGTCAATGGGCAGCAGAAAGTCTAGACAAGGCATTCATTGTGTGAGTGGTAGACAGGGTCCTGCCAGCAGGGCAGTTCATTAAGAAAGGCGGAAGCGAGGCTGCACAGTGCCCACTCGATAAACCCTGTTTGTGCTCCTTAATTGCTTGCTCTGTCCCAGCTCTCTGGAAAAGGCCCACGCTCTCTTACTCTCTGGTTCACTGTCCGGGCCTCCTCTATCCCAGACATCTTTTCTGCAGGGACCTGGACATGGAGCTGCTCCCTTTCCTCTGAAATATTAATAAGCACAGCTACTGTTTAAACAGGGTTGGAGGCTTGTGGGCCGTTTAACAGCATGCCTTATTCAATCTGCTCAACAAAGTGCCAAGTGGCCCTCCCACTATACATCAGGCATGTAAGGTGGCTTGCCCAAGGTCACACAGTGAGTGAGTGATTTGTACTGGAACCCAGGTTTTCTGGTGTCAAATCTCACCATCTTTCCCCTGTTGTAGGCCACCTTCAGGGAAAGAGTCTGAGGAGGATGCCACTCTTACAAATGAGACATGCTTGGTCAGTCCTAGATCCCCGGCCAGCTCCGTTAGTTAGAACCCAGTGCTAATAAGGCCAGAAGCCTGGGTTTGGTGCCAGGAGCCTTCATTTGGTTCTCTAGCCACTCACTGGCCCAATCTGGTTGTCTCACTCTTAGCCAAAGGTGTCCATGGCAAAGGCTATGACCTAAGCAGGACCAGGTGAATTAGAATCACCACCTAGAACAACCATGCTGCAGATGGAGGGCCAGGAGATGGTGCTTCTAGAACAACAGAGAGCGTAGAACTCTGAAGGCACCCAGCACTGCCTTCAGACCTGGACATCTGGGGGCGCACTTTATAGACTCCCTCTCTCCCACATTGGCCATACTCCTTCACACAAAAGTGGGGAATCTGCAAAGCCAAAGGGGCATGCCTATTCTGGCTGCTCAGAACCCCATGTTCCCTGCCTAAGTGCACCCCGGACCTCCTTGGGGGCCCATGCTTCTGTGTGCACTGAGAGGCTGACCAGAGTGAGGCAGAGGCTGTGGACCAGTGTCCTAAGGTCCTTCTCAGTAAAGAATGGAGCTGGGGACCTCGCAAAGTGAGGAAAGGTCATCTGCCAGAAGGGACTTCTGTCAGTACTCAGATATCAGGGTGGGCCTGACCACAGGAAACAGAGCTTGGGCCAGGTACTACCTGCCTCCTAAAGTTGGAGACAGAGTGCTGGAAGGGGAATGGATTTCTAGCTTACTAGGAGAATTAAGCTTGGGATCCAAGGTGGGAGTCATTGGTAGGATGCAGAGAGCGAGGTCTTCATGTGGGTCTAACCTTCCCATGCAGGACAACCCAGAGCAAAATCCACTCATCTCTGAGGTTTATCATTTTTATGAATAGCCACCACTAGTTGAGGATTCAATGAAGATTCTAAATAACACAATTATCATCTAATTGATCCTTCACAACTCTACTGCATATAATACAGTCCCCAATTTATAGATAAGGAAATAAAGCTCAGAGAGGTTGGGTAAGGTGCCCAGGCCATGTAGCCTGGGAAGTAGTGGAGTTATCATTGTCACTCAGGCATCGGTCAAGCCAATGTCCTTAACTCTGGAGAGCACCACCTCAATGGGAGGATAAAGAAGAACTCATGGCTATGAAGACGGAGCTCTTTACGGCAAAGCACACCTATGACTTTGTGTGGTTATTGAGACTGCCACTAACTCATTCCATATACAGGTACTGCCAGTGTCTCCAGGCCAAAATCTCTGCTGGGCTCTGAGACAGAAAGGTGCATCTGCTGCAGCCCATCCTCAAGGACTGTAGAGCAGTAGATGTAACCCTAGAGCAGCACCAGAACCACAGGAGGGCTTGCTGGGTCAGGCTTCACCCACCTGGTCTCTGAATCAGCAAGTCTGGGTAGGGCTTAAGAACCGGCATTTCTAGCAAGGTCTCGGGCAGTGCTGCTGCTGCTGGTCCAGACCCTACTCTGAGAACCATTTGGTAGAAGTTGGGGTGATCAAGAACCCTTCTCTGAGTTATGAAATAAAGCAGGATCCCAAAGCTCAACCTTCCCTGGGCGCGAGGATAAAATAAACTTCAAAGTCCCCCGTGGAGGAAGAAACCATCCTGAGGCTTCTCTGGAGGCTGCAGGATCACTCTGGGAGTGGGAGCAGGAGAGCCCCATCCCCTGTGAGCAGAGCGGGCTGGGTCTTCCTTCCCCCTGGCCTCTAGCTGCCTGAACCTTCAGGTCTACAGCTATTAGTCAGCCAGGGTGGAGCCTGGTGACAAATGCATGGATCTTGCTTCCAACCTGAGGAGTGGAGTCAAAATTCCTGAGAATTCTTTTCAAATCATTTACATTTGATTTGGGTGCAGGGCAGATGTCCTGCATCTGCATGATCTAACTCAGGGCTGGGTAAAATGTGCATGTTTAACTCCTCCTGCAGAAATGCCCAGAGGATGATCAATGAGGAAAGCAGCCACAAGAGTGGGTAAATAAGAAGTAAATAGAAATGCAAGATTGGCTGAGAGCCCCTGGGGATTAACTAATTAATCCCACAGCAGTTTGATGAGAAACTAATTAATCCTCTAAATGCTGGAGGGACTGAGGCCCCAGCCAAGTTCAAGAGGCTGAGGCAAGGTGTGGCTCTCTTCTGAGGTCTTCAGGGAGGACCTGTGTGAGGACCATCTCTCCAAGGGTACTCTTCTCCTCTGTATCAAGAATCTGTCTTCCAAGCTCATTTTGGAGTCAGGCATGGCTGTCATTCTGCTGGGGAACCAAATAAAAGAAGTTCTGGGGAAAGGCTGCTGGACTCCACTTCTCCAAGGAGAAGTTCAGAGCCATAGAGTGTCAGATAAGGAAACAATCTCAGCTCACTTTACTGATGAAGAATGCCACTTGGACCTAGAGACAAAGAAATGATCTTTCTGATCATTTCTCCTCAGCACCCAGACAAGGGGTGTTCCCATCTCTTAGGAGTTGGCTTGAACTTTTCCCAGGCATTTAGCAGGTGCTTATTATGGCTTGGATATGTGATGTTCCCACAAAGCTCCTGTGTTCATGCAGAAATGAATGGAGGCGAATGATTAGATTGTGAAAGCTGGAACCTAATCAGTCCATCCTAGTTTGAATGGACTGATGAGGTGGTAACTATAGGCAGGTGCAGTGTGGCCAAAGGAGGTGGGTCACTGGACTGTGCCCTGACAGGGTGCATCTTCCCTGTGGCCTCTTCCCTTTCTCTCTCTGCTTCCTGGCTGCCATGAACAGAGCTGCTTTTCTCCACGATGCCCTTCTGCCATGATGTTCTGCCTCACCTTGGGCCAATCTGGACTAAACCTCTGGAACCATGAGCCAAAATAAGCTTTTCCTCTTTTAAGTTGTTCTTTTTGGGTATTTTGGTCACAGTGACGAAAAGCTGACTAACACAGTGCTGAAATCGTTCTTAAATCACTTTGGTCTGATTAGGATCAAGATGATCATTTCATCTTTATGTGACCACATGAACTTTGGTAACAGATGCAAGGCTGGTCACAAGCTATGGGGGTGGACCCTAACATAAATCTTTTCTATCATTAGCTCTTCTGATACTTTTTAATTTTCTGTTCCCCTGAAACCCGGCTTGCCTCCTCTTACAACCTGACTTCCAAAAATTGTCTGAGAGCCACCATCTGGGAACATCGGCTGTGTGACCCTTTCTCAGAGGACATTTTACTTTAGATTATTCTCTCAGCAGAACTTGCAAAACTACCCAGTGGAGGAGTCAGAGCGAATATTCAGGCTTTGGTGGGTATTAGCATTGAGGAGAGGGCTTCTTACCACCCAGATTGCGGGGCCCAACTGCAGGAACTTCTGATCTCGCAGGTCTGTGGTGGCCGGAGGACTGTGTTTCTCACAGGCTTCTAAATAATGCAAATGCTGCTTGTCCAGAGAGCACAGTCTGAGAACCACCAGGCTAAAAGTTTCTGGTCAAGCCAAGGTACAGTGAGGGTGGGACCTTCCAACCTGGAGCCCTGGCCTGCCGCAGAATGGCTACCACTGGGACCATCCTGTGCTGTGAGACAGCCAGGTAGACCGTTTCTCCTTGCAGACCTTTATGCTCTTACTGCTCTTACATTTTATTTATTTATTATTTATCAAGGTGGTTAATTTTAGAATATTTCTTTCTGTGTTTATTTTTCACCTAGAGTGAAATGGATGAGAATCAAATCCAGATGGCCGGAGAGGATGTGGATTTGCCTGAAGATCTCCGGAAGATGGTAAATGAGGATCAAGAAGAGGAAGAAGATAAGGATTCTGTTCTTGGGCAGTTGCAGAATCTCCAGAACATGGACTTGGACACCATAAAAGAAAAGGCCCAGGCCACCTTTATGGAAATCAAGCAGTCGGCTGAACAGAAGTGTTCTATGATGTGAGGGGACAGGAGAATGAGAAAGAAGTGGGGAGGGGACATCGAGAGGCCATCAGCAGGAAGGGCACTCGCCTGTGGGCCTTTCCAACAGCATGAATTTTAATATTGAACACAGTTAAGAAACCCATGAAATAAATCTGTCTACAAGCATATAGACAATGATTTGGCTGTGCTCATTGTGCCTGGCAGAGTACCTAGAGAGCCCTTGCAGAAGGAGACACACTTCCCTGTGAGTTATAAATGTGAGTGTGAAATTTCGGCTGTGAATGATGGGGCCAAACACCTCATCATTAAAGGTCTTTAGGACAACCAGGAAGAAACAAGCACAAGCAAATGGCATTTCCTCTCTAACTCTCTTCCTTAGAGGGCAGGGCCTCACCCCTCCAACCATTAGCATGAGGTCAGGTCCTTCAGAGAAAGACGCCTAGGGTCAGGGTGCTCACTGGGAGCCACAGAGGCTCCAGGACACCAGTGAGACTTTACATCAAGCTTGGTACTTTAACCCTTCTCAGCCAAGTGGCGGAAGCAGGGTTGTGGTCAAAGATGAGAAATGGAGGCAGAGAATAGGATTTGCCGGCCGTTTGCACTGGAGATCATTACTTAAGGGCTACGTGAAGATGGGGCTTGAGGGGTGCAGAATTAGAGGCAGAAAGACAACAGAAAGCTGACTGCTACTGCTGGTCGAGCATAACTCCTCCTGTCTACCCTTGGTGACAGGAAGGAACAAAGCGGGCAGACAAATACAGTATCAAGCAGTTAAGTCAAGCTCTCGGTCTTGGCCTCTCTCTGGCCCTTCCCTACTTCTTTCTCATTCTCCTGTCCCCGTCTTGCTCCTCCCCTTACTTCTCCTCCTCCTCCCTCTCTCACCCATCACCATCCTTCCACCTTACAAGAAATCACACTGGCATTCTGTGCCTCAGTGTTCCAGGGTAGACATTGATGTCTTTGGCTATATCTGTATTCATATTCATTCATTCTCTCTCTCTCTCTCTCTCTCTCTCTCTCTCTCTCTCTCTCTCTCTCTCTCGTAATCATTCAAATAGATTTGCCTCTGAAACATTTAGAGCTGTTAAACCAACACCAACCAAATCAAAACTAACTACTGGTTTTCCAGTGGTTATCATTTTATTGATAGAATTACAAATACCCAATGACAAATTTTATTAAGAAGAATTGCTGTATTAGAAGAAAAGGAGGTTAAGACCAAAAAGCAGAGTCTACCTTATATCTATATCCATAGATCCTAGATGCATTGCTTAAGAAGCAGTTTCATGTTTAAAAATATGCAAATAAAGAGAGTTCCAGAATCTATGGTCCTTGGCAAAAGTTAGCCTCTCCTGAAAGGCCTTGGGAGAACCCTGGAGCAGTGTTGAGGTTATTGAGCCTCGTAGTTCACGAACCTCAGATACCATGGGCACATTATAAAACCACATTGTCCTCTGTCAGAACTGACATGTGAGTTGTCTTTGGTTTTATGCATGAAATTTTTTAAAACATAGTTTATCCAACTACAAAATAATACATAAGATTTATTTTCAGTTTGATGCTGACTCTGCCCTCCAGCTGATGGGCAGGAGAGGTGGGTGAGAGGCCCTTGTGGGACTCTATGGCACACATTCTGTTGTGACATGTTATACTGTGGCTGCCAGACTATTCCACAGACCAGTGCAGGATGACACAGGAGACTTGCTTTCTTATAAAAGATGCAGCCAACACTGCCAAGGAAATCACTAGATTGGCACTTCATCTCAACAACCCAAACGACTCCAGTTCCACTTGGTCACTATCCAGTGGAGCTGCACACCATAACAACACCACACCACACAGCCACATATGTAGTGCATCAAACATGCCACCCCATACAACAGTACACCATTTCACATGACACCATGCCGCATCCTACCACATCACGTCACACCACAACACACACCCCACACCAATCCACCCCTCACTACACCACAGTGCATCACACCTGACCACACCACTCCAACCCATAGCAATCCCCATGGGTATTAGGTTGGGGCAGGGAGAGTGTGTGTGTTAGGGTACTCAGAGGCCCCCTTCCCTCTACAGGGTAGATAGGTGTCTATGCCTTTTGATCTTAATGAGCCCAAAAGGTCTCCCATCATCAACAGTTGGATATGGACCAGGAGGAAATCTATTCCAAACTCCCATATATTAAAGGAACCCCTTCTAAGATGTCTCAGTTGAGCCTTTCCACAAGCTTCCAGAGGTACAGAATTCACCACCTGGGGTATTTTGGTTGTTGAGATGAAGTGCAGGTGAGGGAATCCAGCCCTTCTAACTGTAGATATCTCTAATTGTTAGGAAATCTTTCTTGTCCCAAACTGAAGTTGACTGTATGCTTGACCCATTTATCACAGTTCTGTTGTATGCGGCTCCATAGAATAGGCCTACATTCCCACTCGGGTCTTTGATGTTCCCACTCAGTTTTCTCTCTTCCGGGTAAGACACCCTAACTTCTTTTACTCCATTCCCATCCTACACTACTAATACCGTGAACTCACTAGGTGACCACGCAGACTGTCATTGTCCACTCTGTCACCATCTAGGAGGGATGCCAATCAGAAAGAAAACTGAAGTGCTATCGCCTTCCACACACTGCCACTGGACTTGGTGCTTGAGGCCATTGCTGGGTCCACTCAGTCTGGAATTAGGACTTGGCGCTCATTGCACCCGGCCATGACCCCAGACAAGACCTTTACCCTCTCTGGCAACGGGTTTTCTGAACAGGAAAAATGAAGGAATGGCTTTCCTTTACATTCTGCTTCATTCTATGGTTTCAGGATGGCCAATCTCAAGACAGATTTAGCGTGTGAAAGAGAACACATTAGCTATTGTCACTGTCACAGAACTAGACTCCAGTCCTTTACCAACACCAGCTGAGCAAAGAGACAGCAGGCCCCAGGAGAGAGAGTTTTGATAGGTACTAGAGGAGAGAGGGGTCCTGGAGGATTGTCTGGAAAAAGAAAACTTGGGAATCCAGGGATCATTTCTACCCAGGCAGGAAGAACCATAAAGACGCTGGGCAGAGGGCTGAAGAACAGGCCCCGGGAAGGCAAATTAAATGGGCTATCCAATTTTGCCTAGAGTTGGTCTAGTCCCAATTATGTGGACTCGGGCAGCACAATGAATCAGGAGTTCTACTTCTGAAAGCATATTGACACAGTAAGCTCATAGTTATTTAGAGGCCCACTAATCCAGTTTGTGGGTTATATAAGCCCTTTGGTTTTGCTCCTGGCATGAGAAATTTGGCCAAATCACCACTTGCAAACAGAACCATCAGAGACAGGGAGAGGAGTGATATAAATAATGAACAAACCTGGGCTTCCAGCTTCTGGTAATGAGATAGGATTAGCTCCTATTAGATGAACCACCCTGCAGGTAACAACTATACGCTGGACAAAATACAAAGAAATGGCTGCCCGAAGGCACTGTGAGCAGTAAAAATTAGGCCTCCACTGGAGGGGAATCAAATCTACACCTGGAAGAAGGACACACTGGTGAGTTTTCATTTGTTTACAGTTTTCATTTGAGTGCTGGCCCCAGTTGATGGCAACTAAAATTCATAGAGAAAACCCACAGCCTCAACTGGGTACAGTGGCACACACCTATAATTCCTGCAACTCAGGAGGCTGAGGCAGGAGGATCACAAGTTTGAGGCCAGCCTTGGCAACTCAGAGAAGTTCCAAGCAACTTAGTGAGACCCTGTTTCAAAAATAGAAAATAAAATTGTCTGGGAACATAACTCAGATGTAAAAAGCTCCTGGGTTTAATACCTGATACCCCCCCAAAAAAAATGAAAAGACATAATTATTCTAAGGAATTTATAAAATAGCCACCAAAACTGGTCAGTTAATTTAGCAAGGTTGTAGGGAGCAAGGTTGAGATATAATAACCAATTATATTTTATAATATTATCTACAAACAATTCAAAAATGAAATGCGAAACAATTTTATTTGCAATAACATTAAGAAACTAAAATTCTTAGTAATAAATGAAATAAAAGATGTGAAAGTCCTGTACACTGAAAGGTGGAACACATTCCTGATGGAAAATTTAAGAGCACTCAAATGAATGTCTGTGGATCAGAAGGCTTAATGTTGTGACATCAATACCCTCTAAAATGATCTGTAAACTCGAGTGGATCCCAATTGTAAGCCCACCTATAGAAAGCAATGAGCTGCTTCTAGAATTAAGTAGAAAGGCAAACATAGTAGGATATATAGAACAAATCTTGGAAAGCAAGGATGGAGAACCGACTCTCAGAGACAGAGCGTGTAGACAGAACAGGGAGCCCAGAAACAGACACACACTGATGTGTCAACTGATTTTCTAAACTTTGTATTTGGAAATAGTTATTGGATCATGGGAAATTGCAAAAGTAGTACCAAGAGGCTTCACAGACCTTTCTCTACTTCCCCTGAATGGTTGCATGTTGTATAATTACAGTACGATATTCAAACCAGAAAATTAACATTGGTACAATGTGTCATTTAATTTTGTGCTATTTTATTACAGTTGTATATTTGTGTGACCACCATCATAATCAAGATTCAGGATTATTCCAATCACAAAATCTTCTTGGTGTTTACACCCTCATATCCATCCTCCTCTTCCCATTCTTAACCTTGGGCAATATTAACTTCTTTATCCCCTGGCCAGATGGTTTTGAATAAAGGAATGCATGAAGGAATGCAAAGTCCTTTTTTTTTAATATAATATGCTGAAATACATCAAACCTAGACCCTTACCTCACACCAAACCAAAAAAGTTAATTCAGTGTGTATCATAAGACTATAAAAGTTTTAGAACAAACCTAGGAGAAAATATTTATAATCTTGGCATAAGCAAAGCCTTCTTGGAGCACAGAAAATCTTTTTACATATATATGTGTGTATATATATTTATATACATACATACATACACACATATAGTGTCTTTTGATGAGCAGAAATCTTAAATTTTGAAATTATATATATATATATATATATATATATATATGTATGTGTGTGTGTGTATATATATATATATATATATATATATTAGAAACACTTAAAACTTCACAAATTTTTTAAAATTTAATTAAAAAATTAA